TGTTACTATACAAAAACTTTCAGTAAATTGCTCAAGACTTCATATAGACACAAAAATTGTTGGAATTGAAGAAGGTGTAATGGAAATTATAGAAACTTCTGAATGGATGTGTTATATTTAATTTTTATTTGTGATGTACATTTTTTATTTTTATCATTATTATATAAAGAAATTTTATTGGTTAAAATTGTGTTTCGGAAATTGTTTTGGCACTTATTTGGTTACCAGTATGACAAAAATTTTGGAATTAGATTTACTAATAAATGATCACATGCTAGACCATATCCTTAATTTTTAGGATTTGCACACTGACTGATAAGACTAAAATCACAAAATTTGTTAGGGAGTGAAAATTGTCCTATGACTTGTAATATGTATAAGCCTGGTTTAATTAAAAATAGTTCATATACTTTGACATCAAGTTCTATTAAAAATAATAAACAAATGAATTTCATAGTAAACATTGTTTAAACTAGTAATTTCAAATAAAATTATAAAATCTTATCACTTGAAATTATTATAGCAAACACCTTTATGTTTTGTATTTCACTTTTATTATCCACCGGAATACATTCTTCAACAACATACAACATATCATGCATTTCAATACATGCTTTAAATTTGTCATTTGAGTTCTTGGGTATATCATCAACAATTTTATCTTTTGCTTGTTCTATTATTAAAATCTCAATATCTCTTGTTAAATAATTGATTTTCACGTCTGGTATTAATGCTTTTAAAGCATCTGAATCTGGAGATTTAAGGTCATTTCTTCTTTGTTTATTAGCTACCAATTCTCTAAATAAAAAAATTTTGTATTAAATCACAAATTTGAAATGGAGCTTTACAATAGCAAAATATACCTTTGACAATGAACATTATAAGTCCTAGAATCATAAAAAAGATCATTTATTAAATCAAAATAAATTTGGCAGTTTAGATGACCTTCACTCAGATTAATTTGATGAAAATGTTGAATTGAACTGAACAACCTTGTACTAAAAAAATAACCCTTGTTACTTGCTAGTTAAGTTACCAATAACTCATGGAAATGTTGAATAAACTTACATTTTTTCTGTAAATGCTCTTAGTGCAAATTGTATTGAATCTACTAAATCCTTGCTGTAAATATTATCATTTGCATAAAACTTTTTTAATATTTGTTCACTTTCAGGAAATGATTTTAATTTGGAAATGATTTTAATCCTTT